AACCCCTATGCCACAGCTCCAACATGACTTTTCTAGCAGAGACAGCCTTGTCTGCATTTAACAGGGCAGTCCACTTTAAGTGACATAGGTATACACATTTTAAACCTGTTCCTTCATCCACACAACTTCTTCAGCTGAGGTTGTTAAGACACATTCTACACTTTCTACAGATGTTTCAGGTCGGCCTGACCTTGCCACCTCAGACTAGAAGAGTTGTTCCTTTGCAGTAGTGATTCAGACTCCCCACAGCATACAGTCTCTCTCTCTCTCTCTCTCTCTCTCTCTCTTTCTCTCCCTCCTCTAATTAAGATGCTCCTGTGGGCATGCTACCTGCATTACTGTCTAAGCGCTCTTCCCTCCACTCACTCCTCAGAGAGGGAAGCTAAATTGTCTGCTGTTCACACAGGTTATGCCTTGAAGAGAAAAATCCATTCCTGGGCCAATCTCTTTGAAGACACTGCAATCAATTAAATCTATTCTAGCAAGATTTCTACTAAACTATTAGATCTATTACGTGGTTAAAAATGTTTTTCTCTGATGTGGCCTCGGTACGTTGAAAATGATGGTCCTAGAAATGTATTTGCCCAACATGAGGAATTAAAAGTGATGAATCTGTCATTACTCACTCATTCCAAACCTACTTGCTGTTATTTTTAAAGGTGCACTATGTAACTTTTTTTTTTTTGTTCAAAATTTACAAAATTGATAAGACTGAGTACAGCATGAATCCATCTTCCAAAATGTGTTTTTGTCTTGTCCTGAATCACCATGGTATGCCTATAACAAGTGTTTATATTCTGACTATTTTAGACCACTGTGGAGTAGCCCAGTACCTGTGTGACTCGTACATAAATTGAGAGAAGCAGCTAAGGCTACAATGTTCCTCCACAAGACGCATGCAGTTTTGTTTATTACCCGGGAGAGCAACAAAAGTTACATAGTGTATCTTTAAGTCAGGAGTGTGTGTCTAAACCTGTTACTGGAGGGCCAGTGTCCAGCAGCGTTTAGCTCCAACCCCAATTAAACAAATTAGGGTCTTCAGACTCACTAGAAGCGAAGATTGTCTTCTTATTGGGAGATAAGAGGGTCTGTATTACATGCCATTGGAAAAAGCGTAATGGCTAATCACTTGGATCACGTGAGGTACCTCGGCCTGTCATACAATGGCAGTGAGGACAATGGTCGGCTTTCACAGTTATACAACGGTCAGTTACAGTTTACGTTGCGCAGATAAAAAAAAGAGCGTGAGTTGCTGGTCACTTACTGGTCACTGCAATTTAAGATTAGGTTTTATTCTGTTCATTTTTTAAAAAATGGCATGATTGGGCATACATAAAACTGATATTAGTCACTAACATTTTTTTTTTGTTGAAATTCTTGAAGGCATAGAAAAGGATATCTTTTATTTATTAAAATATTTATTTTTTTACATTTATTCATTAAAAAGCGTTAGGCCTATATCATCATACACAGCAACAGTCACAAGTCATTACGTTTCAAGTCTATTTATTGAAACTCGGAAGCCATAGAAAGAACATTTCATTTTCATTAAACAACATTTGAAACAACAATAAAACCTGAAAACCACAGAAAGAAAACATCGATATTTTTAGACAGTGCACAATATTACATATATTTTATTAAATAGTTATGCGACACAAATTTGCTGCTAATAATGCCATAAACGAGTCCTAGCTGTCGCAACATTCCCTACTCTGCCTTCTCTTAATAAATAACATTTTATCAAGGTAAAATCTACATCTAGTTCTCAACGACAGTATTGTTTAGTGTAAAACATGTTGAAGATTAGCGAACAGTTTGTTGATTCATTAAATTATAAGCTATTCCCTCACAAAATCTGTTTATTCAGCGTCGTGAAACCTCTCCTCCATTGACATCCATTAAAAAATATATATATATTTCCCTATACCTTCAAAGTGTTAGCATTCACTCATTTACTTTCATAAAATACACTTGATGTGTATTTTAAACTACATGTATTTATCATATGAACAACAGGTCAGTTGATCATACAAACTTTAAGCACATAGTAGCATCTCTTGATTATTGATAATTTCTTGAACATTTCTTTAATTATTTTTAGTCGAATGTGAAGTTGCAATCTTCATTAATAGTCATTAATTTGGTAACTCACTTAATTCATTAATTCGCTCCAACTGATTGTATTTTTTTTTTTGTTCACTAAAAACAACTAGCTCATTAGTGTCACAAAATCATGCTTAGCAGTGGGGAGTCAGCAGATGTGTTACACTTTACAGATGTGGTAACAATTAACTGCATAAAGTTTCCTCAAAAAATTCCACAGAAAAAAAAAAATACCAGCATGCTGGTTTGGGACTTCATGAGAGTGAATAATGACAAAATTTTTATTTTTGGTTAAACTATTCCATTAATTACATTTTCTTCTTTCCTTTGGCAATGCGTTTCTTGCCTTAAGCCATTCAGCCCAGAAAATAAATTGAGCGACATCATCTACTTGGTTGTTCTAATGAGAGAGGACTGTATTCCACAGCTGCTTTTAGTTGAAACAAATAAAAATGGTCTTCCTTTAAAATGTTTTTTTATTTTTTTTTGCCCTTTAGCCTCATTACTATAATTGGTTTGGCAGCTAGTAGAGGGAATGGTATCAGATGGTACCGTAATTTATACCAAAAAGTAATCTATATAGATTTTTTTTCGGCACATCAAAGAAATTTACATTAAATGGTTCTGTAACATCTCCTAAGATCCACAACATCCCTGCATAAATGCTTCCACTAAAATATTTGTTATTTAGGCTCAGCATTAACATTCACAAACCACTGTTATTTTTAACAGAAAAGCAAGCATGGGCTGCTGCGTGCATGGTTTGGCATATCAGAATGCGAGCAGCACACTTCCTTTATTATCACTAAAAGCTGACATCACAGTTAATCGCGATCTCATAAAGCTCTGTTATAACACAATAAATATATGCACAATGAATCTTTCACAGTGTCTACACTTCCTGTGTTAAAATGAGACTATTCCACAATAAATATATGCACAATGAATCTTTCACAGTGTCTACACTTCGTGTGTTAAAATGAGACTATTCGTGAGCACGCAATTTCAGCACTGCTGTGAGTGGATTCTAACTTAATCACCTCTGATTGGCCATTGCGTTCCAGAAATCAACAGCTGAGTCTGTGATTGGCTACATTGAGCAACTCTTTAAACACGTGTTATAAATAGAAACTCTGCCTAGCTTGCACGTTAATCATTTTAATGTTATTAGTTGTTCTTTTTGCTTTTGTGC